GACTATACTCAAAATGCCTATAGGCAATGAACAATGATTCACCTACCCTCATCACCGTCCAAAGGTTCATCGCACAAGTCACAATTGTCCGGTAGTGTTTCATTTTTTATTTTTTTTCTACAAATTAGAATGGCCTGAAATTTGGATCGTGTGTTCATAAAAAATAGGTGAATTTACAAAAAATATCAAAAAACTATTTTACATGAAAAAATTGACCAAAATACCCCCAAACTTTTGGGGGTATTTTGGTCAATTTTTGTTTCACGAATTATTTTTTTTATATTTTTATTAGGTGTGACTCACTAAGATGTACAAACGTTCCAAATTTCAGATCATTTCAATTTGTAGAAAAAAAAATGAAAAATAGAACACTATTGGACAATCGTTACCGTGCAATGAACTTTGGACGGTGATGAGGGTAGGCGAAATCACTGTTTATTTTCGCCTATAGGCGTCCGGAAGAATTTTTCATATAGGAAAACACTACAGAACGCCTATAGGTGAAGTTCTACAGTACTTCACCTACGGCTTTATCACCGTTCAAAGTTTATCACACAATCACAGATGTCTGATAGTGTTTGAATTTTAATATTTATTTTTACAAATCATAATGATCTGAAATTTGTTGGTGTGTGCGCCTTTGTGAGATGCACATGAATAAAATGTAAAACAAATAATTGAATGATAAAAATTACACAATATACCCCTATAAAGTTTCAGGGGTAATTTAGTCATTGTATTTTATGACTATTAATTTCTTTAATATTTTATTTTGGCACGACTTGGTCATATGTACACACACCCCAAATTTTAGATAAATCTGATTAGTACAATAATTATAAATAATCAAATACTACCGAACAACTATGACCGTGTGATGAACTTTGGACAGTGATGAGGTGGAGGTGAAGTACTGTAGAACTTCACTATATATATGGAAGCATTTACAAAACACCTATAGGTGAAATTGTTTGTCGGTCATGAATCTCTTGGTCCAGGGCTAATTATAAGTTACGCATAACTATGAATTGGATGTTGGTATTGATGCTGGTACATTTTGTTTAACAAAATAGAAATAGTTAACATAAATATGGTCTGAGAGACAGAGGCTTTAGAAAATCTAGTGTGTAAATCCTTCTCCACCTACACCCATATTTGCAACACCATCTATCTTGTGTTTGCTTTACCATTTAATTGCACTTCAAATTTTAAAATTTGTTCTTTTTGTAAAGAAATAAACGGTCAACTTGAATTGTAGTTGAAAATTTTAGCGAACTGAATTCAAGTCTCAAAGGAAGTTAATGGAACTATCCCCTCGAACATGTTGATGAAATCTATTGAGGCCCATTCAATGCCTAAATACGGTTATGAATCCCATCCATTTAGGAGTTACTAGTTCTGTGTAGTTCGACACTGTTTCACACAAAAGGCCTGATAACTATACAATAAACTCTCCTATCTGCATCTCTAATACAGTATTCACACCAGCCACTGGCCTTGTGTTGCATTTCATGCTTATGGCAAATGGATTGTAGAGCTCCATATGACTGGGACCCCTATTGTCACGTGTTCTCGTTTGTGGTCTGAATGTACTGACTATTCCTGCCAATTGTTCATGATCTCCTCACTAATAGCATTCCTTTTTATTCAATTACATGATCTCTTATTGATGCAAGAAGGAAGGGTGGGAAAATAAATCTACCTTTGAGAACCTCAAACAAGTAAAAATCAGCAATATGAAGAAAAAATATGGCTATTAATCAAATTAAGATAATAACTTTCTTCTTTAATAAAATAAAATTCATTTCAATAATATCTGCATCTCATAATGTGACATCCCACATTTTATAAGCCTATGAAGTCTTAAAATTAACTTGAGATCCAAGTAGTAAACAATTTAAGTCTTTGAAATACCCCTAGATAATATTAAAATTCCAGAAATACCCTTACAAATAGTAACCCATGAACAATATGAGTGAATCATATCTCTTGAATAGTAAAAAAGAAAATAAAAATAGAAACTAAGTGTTGGAGATTAACCCTATATTATGATTCCTAAAAATTAACCATAAACAAAATAATAATATGCACACCCACATCCATGGAATTAAAAATAAAAAAATTAAATGAAAATTTTCTTTTTAATAAAATAAAATTTTTGAACCACCTAGTTCTTGATCTCCATTATTCTCCCTTGATTAGAGAAAACTGTCTCTCGAGGTTTGAAATTGGTTATACGAGTCCTCCTCTAAAGGTCTCTCTTGACCTGAATTTTGTGCATTGACATTGGGACCTGAATTTTGTGCATTGACATTGGGACTTGATATCCTCCAAGAAGTTGCTGAGGCATCTATCGTAGCCTGGCTTTGTGGGACGCAATTCTTTAATTGGAAACCGAAAAAGGCTGCCCCACGATTGGTGAGAGAAAAGAGCTCATTATGGTCACTATCTCTAGTTGCCTCTTCTTTTACCTCTTCACCATTATCACTATCGCAGTCATTACCATAATTACAACGTCCATCACCAATGGCTACAACTTGTTCTTTGTCATAGATAGGAACTCCAAGTCTTTCATCCAAATAGTTCATCAAAAATATGGTCACCATCAAAGATAAGATCACTTGGTTCTTTATGAAAAATAGGATAACTATAAAAATAAGACCATCTATATTGAATTCAATTGAAGATTAGGTCCTTGTTGCCCTCTTTTAAAATTATGCTCTTGTTGATGCCATTGCGCATCAAACCCATCTACATAGTTTGGCACGTCATGAGTCCGTTCCTACTTAGACTCGGACTCTAATTTGAGCCAATCTCCATAGAAACCCTCATGAATTTGGATCTATCCTTATAGATTTCCCTCTTCGTTTAAGGAGCGTTGTTACTGGTCTCTCTTGCGCAATAGCTCTGTAACCCTCTCTGTCAAATTGTTGATTTCCTTGCGTAATCGGATCAGATCGGTTTTACTATGGCTAAGACCTCCACGATCAAGCATCACAATATCTAACCATCTTCGATCCATGCTCTGATACCATTTGATACATGAAGGGAAGGTGGAAAATTAAATTTACCTTTTTCCCGAACCTCAAACAAGTAAAAATCAGCAATAATGGAGAAAAAAGCATGGCTATAAATCCAACAAAGAGAAGAACTTCTTTCATAAAGTAAAATTCATTCCAATAACATGGGTATCCCCTACTATGAGAAGAACTTCTTTCATAAAATAAAATTCATTCCAATAACATGGGTATTCCATCATGTCACTTCCCACATTTTGTAAGCCTATGAAACCCTAAAATTAAGTTGAGATCCAAGCAAACAATTTAAGACTCTAAAATACCCCCAAATAATACTAGAATTCTTGAAATACCCTATGAACAGTAACATGTGAACAGTACTCGTGAATATTCAAAAGGAGAACTAAAAAAATCGAACCCAAATGTTGGAGAATAATCCCACATATTATAATTCCTAAAAAATTAACCCTAAGTGAAATAATAAAACGTACACCCACATCCATGGAATTAAAAAAATAAAACTAAATTTTTGAATCATCCATCACTTATTCATTGCTTTATTTTCTTTTACAATGTCTAATTATTTCCACCAGTTCTAGTTCATCCGATATTCCAACCTCTTCCTGTCTCCGCGTTCTTGGTCTTATTTTCTATGAATAGTTCTTAATCTGTATTTCAGAATTTATAACTTTCACTTGTAATTCTATTATGAAACAAAAAGATAAAGCAACTGCTATGTTGCACCTTCTTCACCTTCTCCAGCATTCTCAATAAGCCTATAGAAATCATGATGGTGAAGCCCATTAAATTCATATTTAAACGGCACAGGTTGGCAACTCTGTTTACAGAATCTTTTTTTTTTCTTTTTTCAAAGAAAAGATTTGCTTCAAGATATGCCTTGGAAGCCCTTTTTGAGTAGCTTGCACCTAGTAATTATCCTATTCCCCAGAAAATAGAAGTCTTTCGATTCTGGTCACAGCTGGGTCTTTCTCACTATTTAGCAAGTGATGTTGAGTTCTCTCGGAAGAAGTTCTTGAACAAAGGCTGAACCTGATATCCAAGTTATTCCTTTCCCTCCTTTCTTTCCATGATTATAACGAATGAACTAGCTGTCAGTATAAATTTAAGCCTTTGCTGCAAAGAGTTTCTTATTGTGATGTCCTCTTGCCAAATAAAAAATGAGCACTCATGTCAAATTGTCAATACATGAACAGAGTATGTGATGCATCAAGATGACGCCTCGTTGTTTGAGGAAATAATGGCTATTGGGTTTGTGGAAAGATTAAGGAATTTTTATTTTTTCAATTGAATAACTACTAGCATGACTTGTTTTGGGCCCCATGGAATATTTTTTTTCAAAAAAATTGATCTTGTAAGCATTTCCTCAAAAATCAAAATTGACCTTAAAAGCTTACGGATTTCACAGCATTGACTGAGGAATAGTTCGATATGTTACCTGTGGTTTGACTTGTTAATGGTTCCTTTCTGGTTTCTTATTTTTTGGCTGTATTTATTTTTTCATCGTTGGGATGTAGTCATGGCAGTGTGCTCCTGGGAAGGAATTTGCGTGGAATCTTTTATCACTATTTACTGCATCGGGCATGTTATTCTTGGAAGTTAGCTTGGTTGCATTTCTACTTCAAGGGAACCATGTTAGTGGATTGGATGCTTTAATGCGTACACTTATTATCTCCGGGATCATCATCGGTGTGGATTTTTTCATAAAGGTACATACTTTGCTCATATTGATTACAGTCGGTTTATGCATCTTGCTGTATTGTAGAGACTGTGTGGACCTGCATATACATCATCATCCAAGCCTTAGCCCAATTATTTGGGGTTGGCTATGTATGGACCTGCATATACATTTCCAGTAATTTAGATGCCAGTTATATTGTGATTTAGATTTCCAACATAAGGATTTCACATTATTTCTAGAATAAAAAAATTAATTGTGATGAGATGTTATAGTTGTGTGGAGATTATGAGGGTTTGCTCTGCTTAAGAGACCATGTAACGATCACCATAAAGAAAAAATGCCATATAACTATCATTAAAAAAAATTAAGATGATGTGATATCATTTCGATTTTCATTGTATGACTGTTTCTCATAGTTTTCTTCCTCCAAGCTTTTTATCATTACAGTTTCCTTTTCCTTGTATATATTTTTCCAAGAATACTGTTTATGCATTTTTTAGTTTCACTCCTAAGCTTTGAATTTTTCTTTTCCAAGAACAAATGAAATAGTGATTGTGGAGTCATGAGAACCATTCCGTTGTGCTTATTCAGAAAGTGGATTTCGACTTAAGTGAGCACTTTGGATTTTTGGTGTCATGATTTTTGGCAATGAACTCCTCCATATTGATTTCTCCTTAAGATATCTGATTTTCTCTCTCAGGCAGTTTGCATATTTGGTTTTGGATTACCCTTGTTCATAGACGTCAGTGATACAGTAAATCATCAGAAGTGGGGCTTATGGGTTGCTCACAGGCTAGTGCTTGCTGCTGTCTATGGCTTCCTCCTATTTATGCATCACACAAAATGGAGAGATAGATTGCCAGGTCATTCTTGTCCACTTTATCTCTTCCTTTTTTTGTTTTTTGGTTCTCTTTTTATAATAAACATGATCGTGTTCCTCATCCAGCTCAATTTGCATAAGCATAAATGGAAAAGAATGGTTATACCATGGGACCCTCTTAAACTCTTGTTTTAAAATTTCTTTCTTGAATTCCTTGTGGCTGACTCCTTTGATGATTTTTGCTGTCCAGCTAGACCTGCATTCTATAACTACATCTCAGCTATGTTCACATTGAATGCGGTATCACTCCTTGCGTGTGGGCTTATTGGAGTTGGTGCTGGATTAGGATTTGGGTATTTACAATCTGCCTTATACCATTCAAGCATTTTCATATACCAAACAAAGCCTTCAAAATGTTTAAATTGGTGATATCTTTCCTTCTCTATATGCAGACTCTACAATCTCGTGGCTATCTGTTATCACTCACTTTATCCTCCGCTTTTGTACATCACGTTTTTGGCAGATTTCTTCCAGGTCGGCTCTCTATAAACAGAATGGCAACACATGTTTTATAGCTTAAATACATTGGGTATTCCACTCCAATGGAGTCATTGATAATAAAGAAAACTGATACTGTGATGTAATGGAGATGAAATTTGATATGCTTTCTCTGGAGTGGTTCTTATAATTGATGCATGTAGTATACAAACAGTGAACTACATGTGACCATCGCCATCTGTTGTCTATAAAAATGGCTGAGATGAACCGTCCCTCCAAAGCAGATGTTGAGTGATGTTTCACTCCTACTGTTTGTTGTTGACATGTAATTTACTGTTTGTAAGAAGCAGTATTTTGTGTTTATCCTTTCCTAAATTTTTGAGAGAAATACTTAAGGTCATCTGTTTGGTATGAATAAGTGGAAAATATAAATATGTGACCACTCACCTTTTTCCTATGAATGCGTGGATACATAGGAGGAAGACCTGCATTTGGAAGATGTATACTATTCCGAGATGAAAGATGCCGGGTTTTTTGATGCTGATTGGGATTGACCTTCATCTACTCGTTCATCTACTGTTCTCTCATCGCTTGTGCATAGCCAGCCTCGAATTCTATTCTTTGGTGATCTTCACTTCGGGCCTACTTTGTCAAAAATTTCTTCTTGTGAGCTGTCGTCCAGGATGGAAAGATTTTTTGAGCTCACCACATAAAACCAGTAACATTACTGATGGAAAATTGTGTTACACTGCCATGAATTTCATGTAAGATGTGTATCTTAACTATTGTATAGATACTATAGAGCAGTAATAATTAACAACTATCATTTGGCTTTGGGCTATGGAATAGTGGGTTTTCTTTGAATTTTTCTGGACATTCTCTTTTTTCCTTGTTTTCCCAAAAGATGGCATTCTGGATTTATATTTGCGGGATTATTTTATAGGGATTGTATAGTTTGGATGTGAAATTTGATAGCTTGGATGTTACAAAGTTGCAAGAAATTTTTTTTTGAAGTTTGAGTTTGGTCAATGGAATAATTGTAGCAACTCAATTTCACATCTAATGGTCAAGATTAATGTGACACAAGGTAAATGGTCTTATTCTATACTCTCCCTTATTTTATATGGTTCTCTATTTTTGAAGATAACTTTCTTGATCGGTAATTTTCTGTATTTTATTGAAGTGGACAGTCGTGTTAACGGTTGCAATGAAATTCGGCAGTTAAGCGGTACTGAAATCCTGGGCTATGCTTCAAGAAACGCGAATTGTTAATTTGAGCATGTTTTGAAGCCGAGATGGGGTGTTTAGTGTTCATTAGGGGTGGCAATGGAAGCCGGACCCGACCTAGGTCTAAGCATGGGTCCAAAAATTGGTCTTGGTGGGCGGGTCATGTCTAGGTCCAACAAAAATGGGACCCAGATACTATTTGGGTCCGGGTTTAGGGCAGATCTATCAAAATTTAAAAATCTTGAAAATTGACGGTTCAGAAATACGTTATAAGATGCACTATTTTCAAAATTTGAAATCTATTTTTTTCATGTCTGCATTTTGAGGTCAAGATGATCAATTTGAGGATTTTTGAGCATCAAAGCAACATCTTTTTTTTTTTTATTGTTAACTTAGATTCATTAATAGGAGCCAAAGCTCAAGATTACAAATTGTTACAAAGAACGTAACAAAGACGAAAAGAAGGGAGAACAGAGGAGAGAGGAGGGAGAGAGAGTGGAGATAGAGGGTGGGGGGTGGGCGGTGGGGGGTTAGGAGAAGAGCTTA